CTGTAATACTGTAATAAATTGCAAGCTTCCGCAATCTTACCTGGAGAGGCTGGAAGGGCAGTGAGAAGTGTCTCTTATGTGGAGAAGTAGACAACATGGATCACATCTTCTTTAAATGCCACATGGCTAAATTCGTATGGTGCTGTATTACGGATGCATTTCGCTTTGACTCCTTTCCCACTTCCAGTTCAGACTCCATGGGAAGCTGGCTGGAAAGCAAAAAAAACTTTCCCAAAACGGTAATGCTTTAGTCAGGGCCTCTGTCCGCCCGGACTCTCCTTGATGGGCCTGCGCGCTACCGCTTCCGGCCCAAGCCTCCTCTCTATGTCTCCACATCTCTCTCTAAAATATTTCCTCACTCCGTTCAGACATCGCATGCTTCACCGCACCATGCGACCATTCGCATTGCCGTCGCGGCCATCTCCTTGCGTGTGCCCCCATCCTACGCCGTGTCGCGCCACTCTTCCTCGCCACCACGGCCATCTCCCCACTCGCCTTCACGGCCATGGCGTGCACCGCGCCACCACCACCCCGATGCCACCAAGTGAAGGTCGTCGCCGACCGTGATATCGTCTCCCATGAAGAAGCACATGTTGCAAACGTATGTTTCAAGTGTTTCAGAGGTATGTTGCAAGTGTTACATATGGATGTTGCAAAAATAGATCGGGATGTTGCACATATTGCAATAGCTATACATGTATGTTATAAACGTTTGTTCGGAATGTTTCATCTATTTTTTAAACATATGTTACAAGAGTTTTATCTCGATGTTGCATATGTGTTTCACACAGATGTTGCAAGTGTTTGTTCGAAATGTTATATCCATTCTAGACACATGTTGCAAGTGTTTTATCTGGATGTTGCATATGCTTCACACAGATGTTGCACGTGTTTGTTTCAAATGTTTCATCTGTTTCAGACATATATTGCAGCAAGGTTTTTTTTGTGTTGCAAGTGTTTTCATGTTTCAAGCGTTAAATGGGATGGTCAGAGTCACATGGCGCACATCCGCAGGCGAGGGTGCCAGCGTGATACGGTGCAGGCGCAGGCGCAGGTGGTCCCCACGTGCGTGATACGTAGCGGGGCACAGGTGGTCCCCACCTGCATGCGCGAAGCGGGCGAGGCATTCGGGCAATGCGAGTGTCCGGGCACTAGCATCTGCCTTCCCAAAAGGTGTTTCTATTTTTATCTTGTCGCGTAGGTGATTTGGTGGATCCAAAATAAAAATGGCAATTGAGATGTTTTATATCTATAATCTTCTATCCTTTTTGCAAAGATAGATGGTTTTGCTCAAGCCAAAGAATCTGGCGAGGATGGGAGGAATCATGGAGATCGTATAGTGCTTACCAGCCAGCAAGGTCTTGCTTAGACATTTTGAAAACTCTTTTTTTAGAAAAAAAAAGATAACATTTCAGTCCTCAACGTTGTACAGAATACTATATGACATATGAGACAACTAACGAACAAGTTCCAGTGTACTTGTGAGTTGTGAACCAAGTCGTCATTTACTATTCCACCCGACGAATGATGGCAAAGGATCGACGTTCATGTGCCTGCCCACTTTCTGATTTAAATGAAAGCGCCGTTGGGTGCACCTTTAATCTCCTTTTTTTTTGAACTGCATCGCCTTTTTACATCCTACCTAATAATAGGATGGTCCCTTAACTTTGCCACAATCCATGCACCTTTTTCTGTCACTATAGGTTGCACGGGTTCTTTGTGCTTCATCGGACCACATGAAGGTTGTCGTCTCTCCATGGCAAACCTAAGTATTAATTACTAAGGGCCTTTCCCTCAAAATAAAATTACTAAGCGCTTGTTTAATTCTAATTGGATTATATGGATGATAATAATTTAGTCTGTTTGGATCTCTATATTATAAATGTGGACTGTTGTTAGTGGGAGTAGAAATGACTTATAATATCAAAAAATAGGTTTGAGATGGATAATGATGATATTACTATACTTGGGTGGTTAGATTTTATTATAATTCAAGCAAACATATGTGGGATCTAGTTCACCTTCAGATTGCTTTAGCTAATTATTACTAGCATCCAGCTGGAATCAAAACACTCCCTAACCTAGGCTCTAACTCTAGATTGCCCTTTAATCATCATTCATGTAGAGTGCCCATGTCATGCAAGTAATTTCACCGTCTCAAAATAAATCAACTTTTTTAATTATCTTATTTTTTTCTCTTGAACACACAGGAGAGCTATGTCCAAAATAAGGGATAAGAACCCATACAAGGCATGCCCACTCACACCACTATGTCCAAAATAAACTGACTTGCCTTTGACACACAGAGTCAGGTGATCTCGACCCAAAATTAACTGTCATTCAACCCATGGGCAAGGAGGTTATTGATACATCGTGCCATAGCCAAGCTCCAATAGAGATGCTCCTCACTAGCGAGCAACAGAGCTCTAGCAAGGTTTGGAGATTCAACAATAAACACACACCGATTATGAACATTCCACAAAGTCCATGCTCTCAGAATAATGATGGGGTTGAGGCCCTTTATTAAGTGAACACCCACTGCATTTGAACTTCTGTTCCACCAATCATCAAAGGAAGTCTCATCACACTTGGGTGTAAGCACTTGTAAGCCCACCTTGGGCGAGGGACAGAGGTAAGCAATTGTCTTAAATCAAACTAGCTTAAGTTTGACTAACCTTATAGAGAAGAGCATCAAATACATTAAATAAGTGCATGATAAAATATTTTTTCATGGTGCATCAAATACATCGTTATGTCTAAGATCAATTCAACATATGGTGATTGCATCCTCATCCATCCTTTGTGCATCGACCTCTCCTGCTACCGAAAGTTTGTCATCGTGTTGCAGCTGGTGGATGCTATCGGGCCTATAAAGGATGGGGTCTCACTCATTGGTGGTGGTGAAGGGACTAGATTTGGCGAAGGGAGGCTTGGATCCAGCCCTTGGTAGATGACATTAACATCGTTGCGGTAACTTTTGGCAAATCTATGGCAGGCAACCGATGACTTATCATGCACATAGAGCCCCAATTAATGTTGGCCGGGGTTGAGGAAGGCTGCAGGGATGATGTCCCCCAAGCCAAGCAGTGCTACTGGCCATGAAGCTGGCGTGTATATCACCGCTACCTTCATACAACGCCATGTCCCCGTGGTAGCCCTGTTGCAGGTGCCGATGGCACTTGTTGTGGTGCCAAAGATGGCTTGGTGTGCCCAAATGTAGAGGCAACCTAGTACTCCCTCACCCACATATCTCTAATGCCTATATGATATGGTCATCTCCTAGTTCAATGGTAGATCTCCTCTCCCTCTCCCTTTCCTCTATCCCTTGCCCACTTCCCCTCATAAGTGTGATGGCACGTGGATACATAGGACAGAGTGGAGAGGCACCGAGCTTATCGCCGTGGTGATGCTCTAGTGGCCCAGATTGATGTCCTAGCATCATGAATTGATGCCCTATGTTGTCTTTTTTTGTTTTTGTTTTTTATTAACAGAGGTGGGTATATGTATCACTCCATCTAGAAACATGGGTTAACTGATAATTTGACTCAAACGGAGATGAGCATCCCGCCTCTTTAAACTTATTTTGTCTGTCTCTAAAAGTAGCTATTGTAGATTTGTAGTAGTGTTGGTCTTGCCTTTTTAACATTGATGTGCACTTTGCTTCTCAATGTTAGATTGCAAATGATTTCAGACCAGAACTCTGGATGACGCTAAATTCATTTCTTTGTTTGTCCAGTATTTTCAATTTCCCTATTTTTTAGGTATGTAAATGAATTTTCTCTACCCTATGTTGGTACCAAATTTGTTTTTTCAGACAAGTAAAAAAAAGATGTTTTAGAGGTGGTGGGCCCAACCTGTCTCTTGATAATCTTAATTAGTGATTTTTAATAAGTTCTTGAGTTCATCTAGGTGATTAATAAAACCACAAATAGAAAAGACACTTTGAAATTTTGAAAGAATTCCTGTTACAGTACCTTTATGTGTTCTAACCCATGTCAAAAGGTATTGCCTTTGCCTCCATTCACAATATGTTTTGGAAAGTAATATAATCCATTCATAAATGCAAAGCTGTCGTATAAAACGAAGGGTGCTAAAGCTAATTTATTTTGATGATTCTATTGATGACAAAAAAAATGTTGGATGGATCTTGTGTTGTCATATATATTATTACCTTTTAGTCGATTGTGAAAATATTTGTATAATAAAATAATTTTGTAATCTTTCGCAATTATTTGTCATATATATTGATCTAGAACTCCCTATAATTCAATATTACTGAGAAAGAAAGAACATTTTCTTATAGTTAGTGGTGTGTCATTGATCAAACATTTTGTGTGGGCTGCCCTTCAATTTCACTGTTTTTCTAAGTCCTTGGAACAAACTATCACATTAGACATATTCGCCCATCTCCCAAAAAAAGTGACCACTGGGAAAAAAATACTTTGAATCGTACAATTAAGAAAAAGTTCACGGTCTAGTTAGCTCAGAACACCTCCGAGCTCTTTATTTGGAACTTGAAATTTAACAACCCTGACGTAGACTTTAGGGTTCAACTTGCGACAATGCCAATGTAGAGGTGATAGCAATGATTAGCGGCAAAAGCTTCTTATGTGTCCGAATAGGGACAGATAACGTCTTGTAGCCGTCAGAAGTGCCACTCTACAACAGCTGCATACATATAGATATAGGCCACCTATATAGCTATCCAGGATCTCTCTCTAACCTTGCTGCAAAAAAAAGGACCTGTCTCTAACTGCCCAAAGGAAGGTATATGTATGTTTCATACATGAAAAGGTTGCAAAACATGTTCTATCCGGATCACTTTATTTCAGTGGCAAAGGTGCATCCAAGTTGCTTACTTTTAATTTCCTTATGAGAAAATCATCTCATGCTACCAAGAAGATAATATTTTTGCCTATAAATAGGATCATGGTTTCTAAACCAAATCACTTCCTACCAACCAAAAGTTCAGCTTAGTTCAGTGGAAAGCAAAAACAGACATGCAGGAGAGCACAATGCTCCAAACCCGAAATGGCCTACTGGGGCCCAAGGTAATGGTGCCATATTCCCATGTACTATATTCTAATCTATTCGATGTACGATAGGTACCGGCAGCTTATAAGTGCATAATATGACTTCAACATCATAGTAATCCGTAATTAGTAGACACATACATTTCATATTTTTAATTGCCAAAGACGTTTTCACCTTGTCAATTTGCTTAGAAATAAAAGTTGCATGTAGTCCAATAATAATGCATATTATTTCCTCTGATATTTCAGCAAAAGGATCATGAGCTGCAGCAGTCATTCTCGAAGTTCTCCAACAACGGAAAGACCCCCTGTGGTCAGAGCGGAAGCTCCGACGTGGCACAGATGGTCCGATGCGCGTGCTGCGGAGTGGCGGAGGACTGCACGGCCGCCTACATCCGCCGCGTCCGCACGGCGCACTGCGGGAGCTGGGTGTGTGGCCTCTGTGCGGAGGCCGTAGGCGAGCGGCTGCGCCACGAGCCGGGCGCTGGCATGGAGGCGGCGCTGCGGTCGCACATGGCAGTGTGCAGGGACTTCAACACTACCACAAGGCTGAACCCGAAGCTCTCCCTCGCCGGTTCCATGAGGGACATCGCCAGAAGGAGTTTCAACCGGCGGGCGTCATCCACAGCGACGTACCACGACGAGCTCCGCAATCTGAGAGGGCCATCAGCTGCCAGCCTCGCTTCTTTGTGTGATCGGCTGATCTCGCACTAATCTTTATTATGCTTTCTGGGTCGTTAAGTTACCCTTGTCATGCATTTGCACTTTTTTCCACCTTCTCACTGGTTAATTTATTTTCGAGTAACTTTGTATTTGTCTTTGACAAGGTGTTTTAATGCGTGCATGTTCTGTGTAATCCTGTCCTCTGGTTAGGTGCATTGTTGGTTCAATTGTATCCTTTCTTATCTTATCTTATACCCTAATAATATTAATTCAACTATAAAGTTGTACTCATATTTTTATCAAAAATGAGTTCTCAGCATGAGCCCTCTCTGTGGTGCGACCCGGCGAGTTCCTTGATTTCTGGGGTCCTCGTCGCCGGGATCTGTAAGTAATGGGACTTCGTCGGTGGCAGACCTCCGGCATCAGCGGAAGCCTGGCGGTGGTGTATGACCTAAGGGAAAATTCGACAGTTGCGTATCGAGGTGGGTCGTCTTCATAGGGGAGGGCAGAAGTCGGTTTCCTCTGATTTCGCTGGTTCATCTAGGAGGGGACATGATTTAGTGCGTGGTATTCAGGGATCCTCGCCGTCCATAGATGGAGCCACAGCTAGTTTGGGGGTTTGCGAGTGACCGGTTGGCTTGTCTAATTTGATTTGGCCCACGATTGAACAAGGAATCATAGGGGGCAAGGGTGGCCCGCATCATTTAACCATGGTGCCTGGTAAATTGAATGATTGGGTGGTTCATCCCTCTAGATACCAGCCATCTACCACGGGGGCAAGCAATTCTCTCAATTTTCAGTTAGCTAAGGATATCAAGCAACATTTGTCTTGTGATGGTGAGTTGGATCCTCAAATGAAGGAGCTTGTAGAGACCTCTGATAGGCTGGAATCATCAATAAGCAGAATGTTTTTTTTTGAAAGGTCATCAATAAGCAGAATGTTGCAGCTGAAGGGAGTGATCGCCATGGCCCATGGATGAGCAGAAGGGCAATGTTGAATTCTGGAAGGCACGGGCGGAGGAAGAAGATGGATATAACCATGATTTCGCTATGGCCCATGATACTCAATTTGGACATTCATGGACCACGAATGGGCCTAGTCCGGACTGGATATGGATTCCTAAAGGGTGTATGGACTCGAACGTTGGATACCCGGCTAGTGCGAAGGAGGTGACACTAGTAGAGAATGGACTTTCGGTTTTTGCCGTTAGTCCCGGTTGGGATTGGGTCCGGGACTAATAATAGAATTAGTCTCGGTTGGAACCACCAACCGGGACTAAAATTCCCTACCCAACGAATAGTTCAACAAGCTTTTTTAGCAGAGACATTTAGTCCCAGTCTGTGGTTCAAACCGAGACTAAAGATCGCCTTTCAATCCCGATTGGAACCACCAACCAGGACCAAAAGTTCTGCTAGCCTTTTATTCCGGATGGTGGCTCCAACCGGGACTAGAGGTTGACCCTTTAGTCCCGGTAGGCTCCACCAATTAGGACTAAATGTCCCCACTATATATAGCCACTTCCACGGTCCCCTCGGCCCAAGACACAGTTCAATTATTTGGTCTTTGCTTGTGCGCGTGTGTTCATCCGTGTTCTTGCTTGGGGGAGCAAGTTCTTGCTCTCGGCCGCCGGCTTCATCTTCAATTCTCTAAAGGTTAGCAACTTCATCTTCTAATCTTTCATTGCTAATAATGTAATAAACATCGAAATATGTGGTTTTTTAGATTAGAAATAATAATGGTGGATTTTATTTTTATTTATACATCATTTCTACATAACCTTAAACATTTATAGTTTTCTAGATCTGTTAGCAAAATTAGTTCTTGATGAAAGTTAATAATCGTTAAAAAAAAAGTGCCAACAAGTAGGGTGCAAAATGGTTGCAAAGTGTTTAAGTTTACTTGACATGGATATATATATCTTGATGATTTATTTTTGGGATTGTCGGGTCAATAGATTTTATGTAGTAAAATCTGTCAGATTTTATAGTACAGGCGATGCTCATATAGTATACATGTAATGTTTTATGATATATTTTATGATGTTCACATGGTATACGCGTGATGTCCTATGAAATATGACAGATTTAATACCAAAAAATTGTCAACAGATAAAATAGCATGTAATATACACGTGATGTTCATATAGTATACATGTGATATTCTATGGTGTATTTTTATGATGGTCACATGGTATACAAGCGTTGTTCTATGAAATCTGACAGATTTAGTACCAAAAAATCAATCGACAGATAAATAGCAAAAGTCTTTGTTTTTTATATGTTTCTCTAATATATATTGTTGCATGATATATTTATACGGGGTTCTATATTTATTAGGATATTTTTCAGTTTTCTTAGTTATGATGAATGGCGGCGGACTTCTCCTGCCACAGGAACTAGGATTCCACCATGGTGATCTTCCATTCGTGCCATCGCCAGATAGGGCCATTCCGCGTTACCCAGACCCATCAATAGTATGGAATATTTTAAGTTTTGCGTGCTATTGGAATATTTAACACGCACAGAAAAATCCGCAAGCGCACGGATACCGCTGTAGCTTTCACCCGAAAGTATTCCAAGTATCGTATCCACAGAGAAACATGTGAGATTAACTACGTCTAACTTAACCCGGAGTAGCAACATGACTTAAGATAACATGAGTATAAAGGAGATCACTAAGGTCTTATAGTTCTAATTTTGGTAAGCTATGTCTTCTATTGTTTAATTCTGGGAATATTATTAAGGAAAACACAGATATAGTATGTTTCCTATAGTGACTAGATCCGGTTCGGCCTACAAACGGGAGGTGGACTACAGAGGATTCAACGAGGCTATAAGTGTCACTCTCGTGAGCTACCACCAATCTAGAATGTAAGGTACATCTATGAGTAACCGAGTTTAAGCACCACGCTTACACTACGAATACTACTTTAACCTAGGAATGACAAGGATTAAAGTACTAAAAAAGAGTAGCAAACCTGAAGAACAATATAAACATGTTACTTACTTGAATTAGAAGTTGATTACCAGAGCAATCTTAGAAGCAAGTTTATAAAGAACTTGATTCTACCAGGGTACAAGCCGTAGAGACACCACCGATAGGCTGGTACTTCCTCCAAACTCTTCCCTCACACTCTATCTCTCTATTTCTAATGCAAGACTAGATCCTATGGAGGACTAATCTTCTCTTGATAGCTGACTCTGATCCTGATGAGGAGGATATGAATTAGGGTTTCAGGATGGCTCTGCTGGAGGGGGTATAGGGCTATATATATAGGGGGTAGCATCAATTCGGACCCTTGGATCAAATCAACTTGAAAGGATGGCGTAGATGCAATCCTTAAGGTGGTAGAGAACTGACATCATGAGGAGGGGCTTCCCTGTGGGCCCCCTAGGCACCTAGCGGCGCCTCGCCCTCTGCCACGGTGTGGTGTCCTCTGGTGTCTTCTAGAGTCTTCTAGTGCAGGTTTGATCGTGGATAAGTATGATTAGTTCTGATGCTTAGGTCCCCTATGATGGTTTTCTGAATATACCCTGCTGAAAACACAGATTCATCAAAACTTATGGAATTTGTCAGTTTAAACCCCTAGACCTATGTTTGGTGATGGAATTAGTATATATGCAGGTTATATTGATGGTTTATAATTGATATTAATGACCATCAATACGTGCTAATATAATTTTTTGCATATATATATATGAATTCATAATATGATTGTTGCATATGTCACATACTATAAAACCAGTCAAGTGGCTAAAATCAGCACTATGGTTGCTCGGGGTGTCGGACATCTTCGAGACCACGACAAGTGAGGTCGTGAATGATGAAGGTGGTGAGTTATGGACATGTAATCTTGCCTTAGACATCCCCATTAGGTACAATGATGATATGCGCCAAGACATCGTGCAGATTGGACGATAGATGCTGACCCGAATAGGCACCCAGATCGATGCCGTGCTGCTTTCTTTATAGGAAATTGAGCGAATTGGCTACCGTATGCCTGATTTCTCGTCTTTGAAGATAGAAGCTTTACATGAGCATAATCTAGACGTACCGTGAGTAAGCGAAAGGCATGCGATATTCAACCAAATGGATGTGATATGTCATGTATGATATCAGAGTAATTTTTATTTATTCTTATTATTATATGACCTATGCTACAAGTGGCATGCAACCCATTCTTGCACAAGCTATTGAGCGACTGGGCTACACTGGGACTACATGGAAGACCTAGGCCAGAGGACAACAACTGGTATCCAATATTTCATGAGATTTAGGCAGAATCGGACCAGCTATAATCTGACAGTGGACTATATCTATGGGGTACCATGTCTTCGGCGTTGTGAGGCAAGAGAGAGTATTTTAGTGTGGTCCTTGCATTATATTGATAATGACCGTGGTTACTATATCCGAGACATACACTACTGGCAATGGAGACAGGCTAGAGCTATGGCCAGTTTGTAGGGTTCATGTGTTAATTAGGTTTATTCATATTGTTATATTTAATTAGTTTATTCGAATGGTTATGCAGGTTTAATTAGGTTTCTTTGTATGGATATTTTAATTATGTTTGTATGCAAGTTAATTATGTTTTATTAGGTTTATTTGTATGGATATTATAATTATGTTTGTATGGATTAAAATTTAACTTGTGTAGGATTGAAATGCGTATGTGTCGGTGTTTTGTAAACCGGACTAGTAAATTTATATGATTGCCGCGCTACTCTAGGAAGACGATGGTAGCATCCAAAAGACACGAGGATTTATATTGGTTCAGGCCGGAGCCCTACGTCTAGTCTCAGAGATGATCGAGTGCGTGTTCCTCGCTTGAATGCTCTCATGTACTTACAATGGGGGTGTTGACACCAAAATTTGGTTTGGGATCGGAGTTCCCTAAAGTCATGATTCGTCGAGGGAAGCCGAAATATTCAACCAAATCGGCTAACCGAGTCATCAACAGAATCAACTGACAAGGTGATGTCATCACTTTGAGAGAATGGGCCCAATTGGGAAAAACGGCAGGACCAAAGCAAGACACGTGTCGGGCTCC